CTTTCATTTGGTGGTAAATGTTAATGGATATCTCCTGTTGTTTTTTTTTTTATTACCAAAGGAAAACTGGCCTAAAATAGTAAAAAAAACAAACAAACTTTTTTTTAATTTAGCTGTATATTTCTTGGTACTACCATAACCTATCACCAAAGAACAACCCAGAATAATTTCTCCTGCTCCTGATGATCGCAACGATACCACATCTGTGTATGCTAGTTGTTGTTTGTATCCGTAGTACAGCCCAGACACCATATTGCGCAATTTGCTTTTTTTTTTATTCTGCCACTGACACTAATTAAAAAAAAAAAAACAAAAACCTGACCCTGACCCTTGACCAAAACACTAACCCTGGCACAGACCTAGATCAAACCCTGATCTGGGTATTTTCTTTATTTTTTTATTATTATTTTTATTTAGTCATTTATGTATTTATTTGTTTATTTTATTTATTTTTTTTTTACTCACACTTGAGTTTTTTTCCTCCTGTTTGAAAGGACAGAAAGATAGGACAGATCCCCTCGAGAGTTCTCCCTCTACAAATTCGCGTTCCACACCTACACCTCCTCCCTCCATGCCGCCAAACAAGCCTACTTCAAAACCCTCATCAACACCCTCTCCACCTGTCCTCGCCGGTCTCTTCTCCACCTTCAACTCCCTACTCTCTCCCCCCCCTCCTCCACCCAGTACCTCACTCACCGCCCACGAGATTGCCAATCACTTCCAAAATAAGATCGACGCAATCCGTAAGGACATCACCAATGCTCTACCTCCCCACCTAGCCTCCTCCCACTATAACCCCATCAACTCTCCTCTCCCCTGACCTCGCAACTGCCCTGCCCCCCCCACCACACCTAACATCCCGCACACTACAACCTCCCCAACACTCCGATCCTTCAGCCTTGCTACCACTGAGGAGGTCACTAAGGTCTTCTCAGGAGCCCGCCTCACCACTTGCCCCCTTGACCCTGTCCCCACACAACTCCTCCGGTCACCCTCCTCCTCCATCCTACGCTCCCTCACCCACATCTTCAATCTCTCCCTTTCTACTGGCGCATTCCCCTCCCCCCTAAAGCATGCGCACATTACCCCCATACTCAAAAAACCCTCCCTGGACCCCACCAACCTGAACAACCTTAGACCCATCTCCCTGCTGCCATTTACATCCAAGCTCCTTGAGCGCTTAGTCTACAGTCGCCTAAGCTCCCACCTCACTGACAACAACCTCCTCAATCCACTACAGTCTGTCTTCCGTCCCCTACCTACACTCCACCGAAACCGCCCTACTCAAAATCACTAACCGCCAAAGCTAATGGCCACTACTCAGTCCTCCTACTCCTCGACCTTTCCGCTGCCTTCGACACAGTTGACCACCCCTCCTCCTTAATAAACTGCACTCCCTTGGCATCAGAGACTCCGCTTTCTCCTGGCTCTCCTCCTATCTATCCCAACGCTCCTTCAGCGTTACCTATAACGCTACCACCTCCCCCTCTCTGTTGGGGTCCCCCAAGGCTCTGTCCTCGGGCCCCTTCTGTTCTCCATCTACACCTCCTCCCTCGGCAAACTGATATACTCCCACAGCTTCAACTATCACCTCTACGCCAATGACACGCAAATTTACCTCTCCACCCCTCACCTCACCCCTTCAGTCTCCGCCCGTATCGCCCACCTACTGAACAACATATCAGACTGGATGTTGCTTCATTTCCTCAAATTGAACCTTTCCAAAACCGAGCTTGTAATTTCCCCCCAGCCTGCGCCCCCCCCATCCTCTCCATCACGACCAACAACGCCACCATCAATCCCACCCCGCAAGCCAAAGTCCTAGGTGTCACTCTAGGCTCAAACCTGTCCTTCCAATCCTGTCATGTCCAATCGCTGGCAAACTCATGCCGGCTCCACCTCCGCAAGATCTCCAAACTACATACGTTCCTAACCCCAGACACTACTAAACAACTCATTCACTCCCTCATTATCTCACGTCTGGACTACTGCAACTCACTTCTCACCGGCCTACCCCAACATAGGCTATCCCCGCTTCAGTCTATCCTGAACTCAGCGGCCAGACTCATCCACCTTACCAACTGCTCCGCTTCTGCCACCCCCTCTGTCATTCCCTCCACTGGCTTCCGATTGCCCTACGGATTAAATTCAAAATACGAACACTGACATACAAAGCCATCCATAACGCTGCCCCAAACTACCTCACCGACCTGATACCCAAATACTGTACCACCCAACCCGTACTCTTCGCTCCTCACAAGACCTCCTACTTTCTAGCTCCCTGGTCTCCTCCTCCCACGCCCGACTGCAGGACTTCTCCAGTACTTCCCCCATCCTCTGGAACTCACTATCCCAATCCATCAGACTGTCACATACCCTCCTCACCTTTAGGCGCACCCTGAAAACCCATCTCTTCAGGGAAGCCTACCCCACCCTCACCTAACAGCCGATCTCCTCCACTCCTCCTACCACTCCATCCCCCACAGCCACTTCCTCCTGTACCACTATCCCCTCCCTCCTAGATTGTAAGCTCGAAAGAGCAGGGCCCTCAAACCCCTCGTGTATTGTTTTGTTACTGTATTGTCTCATGTTCTGTCCCCCACTATAATGTACAGCGCTGCGCAAACCTTCTGGCACTATATAAATACTGTATAATAATAATAATAATAATGTATCTCTCTCCTCCATTCAGAAAGAGAAAACAAAGGTGTGGGCTTCACAGTGACTGATCACTGTGATAGCCAATTAGAGGCTATCACAGCGATCAGGTGACCCGGAATCGGGAGTTCTCGGTCCCAATCGTTAGAACGGGACCCGGGGATCTCAGTGACACCCTGGTCTTTCTGCTGGGAGCGCGCCGTGAAGCACGCTCCTAGCAGGAAGACAGGTATGCAAATTAGCATCGCCACAGAAAAAAGCCCAGTTCCGTGAGGCCACTAATTTGCGTGCAGTCAACGTCAAGGGGTTACGCTTTGACAAAAAAACCTGGAAGCTGATTGGTTCCAATGCAGAGCTGCACCAGATTTTGCACTCCCCAGTTTTAGTAAATGAACAGCGACCATCATTCCTTTGGCCGTCTGCTATAGAAAAGTACAGTAAGCCAGACTGTGCTTTTTGCTTAAATCATCCAATCACATGGAGGAGCAGCTTCATATTTTTCATTCTGCAGCACATGATTGGGGGTTTCTGGTCCCAGTTTAGTAGAAAACACCCTATACACAATGTAATATACAGTGAGGAACAGAGGTATTTGAACACCCTGCGATTTTGCAAGTTCTCCCACTTAGAAATCATGTAGGTGCATTCCCACTCTGAGAGACAGAATTTAAAAAAAAAATTTCAGGAAATCACATTGTATGATTTTTAAAGAATTTATTTGTCTTGCACTGCTGAACATAAGTATTTGAACACCAGAGAAAATCAGTGTTAATATTTGGTACAGAAGCCTTTGTTTGCAATTACAGAGGTCAAACGTTTCCTGTAGTTCTTGACCAGGTTTGCACACACTGCAACAGGGATTTTGGCCCACTCCTCCACACAGATCTCCTCTAGATCTGTCAGGTTTCGGGGCTGTCGCTGAGCAACACAGAGTTTCAGCTCCCTCCAAAGATGTTCTATTGGATTTAGGTCTGGAGACTGGCTAGGCCACTCCAGAACCTTGATATGCTTCTTACGGAGCCACTACTTGGTTATCCTGGCTGTGTGCTTCCAGTCGTTGTCATGTTGGAAGACAAAGCCACGACCCACCTTCAATGCTCTGACTGAGGGAAGGAGGTTGTTGCTCAAAATCTCACAATAAATGGCCCCATTCATACTCTCCTTAATACAGTGCAGTCGTCCTGTCCCCTTCGCAGAAAAGCACCCCCAAAGCATGATGTTACCACCCCCATGCTTCACAGTAGGGATGGTGTTCTTGGGATGCAACTCATCCTTCTTTTTCCTCCAAACACGAGTGAAGTTTAGACCAAAAAGTTCTACTTTGGTCTTATCTGACCACATGGCTTTCTCCCATGCCTCCTCTGGATCATCTGGATCAAGTTTGGTCATTGGCAAACTTCAGACGGGCCTGGACATGTGATGACTTGAGCAGGGGAACCTTCCGTGCAATGCATGATTTGAAACCATGAACGCGTAGTGTTCTACCGACAGTGACCTTTGAAACTGTGGTCCCAGCTTCATGTCATTGACCAGCTCCTCCCTTGTAGTTCTGGGTTGATTCTTCACCTTTCTTATCATCAGTGATACCCCATGAGGTGAGATCTTGCATGGAGCCCCAGTCCGAGGGAGACTGACAGTCATCTTTAGCCTCTTCCATTTTCTAACAATTGCTCCAGCAGTTGATCTATTTTCACCAAGCTTCTTGGCAATTGCCCCGTAGCCCTTTCCAGCCTTGTGGAGGTCCACAATTTTGTCTTTGGTGTCTTTTGACAGCTCTTTGGTCTTGCCCATGGTAGTAGTTGGCGTCTGACTGACTGTGGGGTGGACAGGTGTCTTTAAAGAGCTCAGACAGGTGCTACTAAGTTAGATTAATGAGTGGAGTAGAGGTGGACTTTTTAAAGGCACAGTAACAGGTCTTTGAGAGCCAGAATTCTTGCTGTTTCTTAGGTGTTCAAACACTTATGTTCAGCAGTGCAAGACAAATAAATTCTTTAAAAATCATACAATGTGATTTCCTGAATTTTTTTTTTAATTCTGTCTCTCAGAGTGGAAATGCACCTACAATGTGAATTTCAGACCCCTCCATGATTTCTAAGTGGAAGAACTTGCAAAATCGCAGGGTGTTCAAATACTTCTGTTCCTCACTGGATGTTACATTGCCTAGAAAGTGTGCACAATGTACATATTTATTTGTATTGCTTTCTTTATCAAAAACAGATACTTATTTTACTATTGCAAACAGAGGATGAAGCAGTGAATGCAGAAATATAAATATTATACGTTTTACAAGAAGCTAACAAAAACTGAAAAGATGAGTGACAATGGTCTTAGGATGGACATACCTGATAAATGGCATATGATATGGCCTTACAAATATAAAGAGGCAGACTCCAACAAGCTGTCCAAAGGTCAACAGTATGTATCGATTTGTTCGGGATATAGCTTTCTGGATTTGTTCAGCCCACATTTTTCTGTTTGTTGTACTGAAAAAAATAATTTGTGTGTTTAATTTTTGGGCAAAAACCCCCCAACTTTTTCCTCTACCTTCTGATTTTTAAAATTGTTAGTAAGATAAAGCACCCGAAAATGAATAAGTCATATCTTTAAAGTATAACTCCACTTTTACAAAATTATAGTTTGGCGCTACCAAATGGTGCTATAAAACACCTTCCTCCCACACGTGTACAACACTTACATACTATATGTGCTTCCTCCTCAAAAAAATCCAAAAAATATGATTCCAATGATGTGATATACAAATTCCAACAAAATTATGATGTACTACAATACACTTCCCTTCATAGAAACGTGCTCCTGTGTATATTTATATGCCAATAATAATTTGTGACATCCTCCCAATGCAGTAATAAAAAATAAAAAAAAGTACTCTGACATGGCAGACTGTGTACTACGTACTACAGGACACCTTCCCCTACTGAAACACCAAATGTGCTCCTGTACAAAATCTATACAACAACAAATATTTGTGACATCCATAATATACAATTCCCCCCACAAAGTGCTTCAGTGCAGTCCACTTAAAGTGCTCTTGATTTCAATGCAGTGCTACGTTCCTTTGTGTGACACTCGTGCTCTCCATCCCCATTGGGTCCGCACTCACCAAAAATGTAAGACTCCCTTTTTACAGGCGAGTCATATGCGCTTGGTATAGCTTCCGCCTTCAATATCTCCACACCTCCCCTTATTTGGACCTCTTGTATCCTCTAATCTCCTTCTCCTCCATTCCACCAATGATTGACCAAGAGAACCAAAAAGCAGAGCTCCAATAGTGTAATACGCATCACCAGGATTCACGTCACATCCAGTCGTCACTCTGACATCACCTACTATTTCCGTATAGTCACACCCTGACGTTTCGTCCTTCTGATTTCATCTGAGGGACACCCTCAGACTTTAAAAGGGCTAAACCATTAAAGCTGAACTCCAGGAATTTAGCCACTTTGTAAAATGTGATGGCTTACTATGAGCTAAATCCAACAAGGTGCATTTCACCTCATGGATTTATCACTTTTATTTACAACTGACAGTTTTATGGAGTGCCGGGAGTACAGCTATTGCTACCCTCCCAGGATAAACACTGTCTTCACAGACAGCAGCATCTCTGCCTGTCCATACCTCCTTCTGTTCATTCACAGAAGGCTTTGTATTCCATGAATGGGTTCACATAATACAAAGCACACTGTGATTGGGCAGGGGGTGGGAAGGGCACAGCAGCTGCATGGTCAGGCATCATAGTGCTGGAAGTATAGCAATAGCTGTATTCCCGATGCTCAGCAAAAATGTCAAATGTAAATTAAAGAAATACGTCCACCAGATGGTATGCACCTCATTGGACTTAACCTCTAGTGATCCAGCACATTTTACAAAGTACCTGAATTCCTGGAGTTCAGCTTTATTACAAATACTTTCCAGATATCCCAAAATATGATATCATAGATTCTATATCTGTAGTTAATACACAGAAACTTTACTTATTGAACATACAGTTTTATCATGAAACATACCCTACATAACATGCCAAAACATTTACTACACAAATATCTGATTGCTAAATGCCAAAGAACAGCAGTAAATCATACATAGGGGTGTTTATCACTGATTCCACCCAACATTTGCCAAAATTGGTGAACATTCATTCACTCTGCGTTTTCAGTCAGATTAGTGAAAATTTGCCCAAGATCCACATCTAGCGATATTTGCTCAATAGTAAAGGGTCTTTACTGTAACATTCACGCTATTTAAGAAAAGGCTAAATGCTACCTTCCCTACAAATCTGTCTGATGTTTCTTTAACCTATTTTTTTCTAAATTCTTCAAAAAAAAATTTAAAATATGCATTCTTCCCAAGAACAAACACAACTGGGCATCAGAAATAAGGGCTGGTATGCCCAAAGCAAAAAAGTAGCAAGCATGCAGCCTTCCTGCAATAATATTTTTATCATAAAAATACTTTAAGTGAGTCTACACTTAGAGGCACTCTTTCTGTTCCATACAGTTTTTTATATGCCGGAGCCAGCTTCTGCTCCAAGGACAAGCTTGCCCTTAGTGGATGGACTCTAAAAGACTTTATATTTTAAAACATCATATTTTAATCCTAATAAAAACTTTAAAGGGAATCTACACTTTGAGGTGCTGTTCCTTACAGTTAATGATACCAGCCCACTTGTCCTTCCTTCTTCAGTGGGGACTTTGAGAACGGTTCTACCAAAGCATTGAAGCCCAGTGATGATGGGCAATGAGCTCTTTGGCACCCCAGAGCCCAGGACAGTTTTATGTGCCTTAGCAGTTCTGAGAATAAAGTTCCCTGTGCATCATTTTTGATATTTGCGCTTAGTCCATTAAAAAGGACTCAGGTCCAAAATTTAGGTATTTTAGATTGGTTAACTACTATTGATATTTATTATTATTTATCTCAGGTACTTATATAGCGCCGTCAATTTATGCAGCGCTTTACATATATAAATATTGTACATTCACATCAGTCCCTAACCCTCAAGGGGTGTACAATCTAAGGTCCCTAACTTACATTCATACATACACATACTGGGGCCAATTTAGACAGGATCCAATTATCCTACCAGCATGTCTTTGGAGTGTAGAAGAAAATCCATGCAACACAGGGTGAACACGCAAACTCTAGGCAGGTGGTGCCATGGTTGGGATTCAAACCAGTGACCCTATTACTGCCAGGCGGAAGTGCTAACCATTGAGCCACTGAGATATGACTGACCTGGCACTAACAATGTTTCCTGCATTCAGTTCAACCATTTCTTCAAATCCCACTGCAAAGATGTCTGGAGGGTTTTTTTCATCATCTACAAATGGGGGAAAACACACATATACAATTGATTGCTTAATAGAATGAATTTCAAATACCAGCCTAAACAGACAGCAGTCATCGACAACAGAAGCATACAAATAACATGAAAAGTCTAAAAATGTTAATGTTCAAAGTTGCAATTCCTTTTGGGCATAAAAGACATTTCTGCTGTTTTATATATCTTTTTTCATATCATGTCTGCAAAGGCAACATTTCAAGGGCACTCTTCCCCCAAAGAACTACATTGTGTAATATCTGTTTTGTACTGAACAGCAGCTGGAAAGGGACAACTGGTTTATCTGGTATTGTGCCATCTCACGCTGGTGGGTTTGGCTGAGCTCCAGGATTATGTCCAGAGAAGTGATTGCTATTCATCCTTTTTAGATAAAGAATGCAGACACCTGAGAGATTTTTTTTTTTTAGCTCTCCCCATATTGAAGGACTTTTTCTTAAAAGATCTTTAACCACTTCAAGTCCGGACACTTTCAACCCCTTCCTGCCCAGGCCCATTTTCAGTGCTATCACACTTTGAATGACAATTGCGCAGTCATGCAACACTGTAACCATATGCATTTTTTAGCATTTTTTTAAGACAGATAAAACTTTATTTTGGTGGTATTTATTCACCACTGGGATTTTTATTTTTTTGCTATATAAATGAAAAAGTCCAAACATTTTGAAAAAGTAGTGTTTTTCTTATACAATTTTGCAAATAAATAATCTTTCTTCATAAATTTTGGCCAAAATGTATTCAGCTATCTTTTTAGTAAAAAAAATTAGTTTATAACCAAAAATTATAATTTTTCTTAATTTATTTTTTACATTTTTATTTTTTTTCTTAATTATTTGTGGTTTTTTTTTTTTTTTTTTTTACATACGGTCATCCTAGCAGTACAGTGTCACCATAGTGACACTGTACTACTTGTGGGGGGTGATGAAGATTTTCTTTTTTTACACGGTTTGGTTTTACACCCATAAAGGCTGTGATCGCAATCGTTTCTATTTCTCTCTGGCTGAATTCTTGCAGCCATTGAGAAATACTGTGAGAGCTGTGATTGGTCACAACTTGTCACATGGTACAAGGCTGTTGTGAATAGCCTTGCACCACGTGACCTCTGTGATCATTCACAGATTTCACAAGTAGTAAGCAATGATGTCAGGAAGTGACATCTTGTTTACTACTGCTTATGTAATCACTGATTGGCCAATCAGTGATCACATGAATCGGGACCTCACACCAAGGTCCCATACAGCGATCGGTGGAGGACACAGCGGGCACAGGATCGCGGTGATGCGCACTTCCAGGAAGCACGCACAGGCAGTGAATATGGCTGACGTTTAGAAACATCAACCTGCTTCAGCAGTGCTCCCGTCCGGCCGTTTATAGACATGGGCTGTATGGGAAGTGGTTAAAAATCAATTAGATGCACTTAAATGTAGCAAAAAAAAAAAAAAGTTTTCCCCTGAAAGACAAAGGCACATTATGTGAAAAACTTAAAACGAAGCCCTCCAGCGGCACGCTGTCCCTGCTGACAGAGCTTCCATTTTCACTTGATCCTTCTTCCGGGTTCGCGGGCTCCAGTGGCTTGAGTAGCTGAGCCGCGATGAAATCACTTTTTAAGGCACACAGCTCTAAAGGAACGGCATGGGTATGCCGTTCCCTCAGAGCGCATGCGCCGGTGCCCTACACAGGTAAGTATCTCCTAAACGTGCTTTATTATAAGCTTACCTGTGGGCACAAGTAAATAAAAAGACTTTACTACCACTTTAAAGAGACTTTTAAATTTGTTTTTTAAAATACAAAAAAAGACCACTTATTCTTATTTTGCTGTCACCTCTTTGTGGAATCTTCCCTTTCTTGCAAAGAAAAAAAAACATTTTTTCATCAGACAAACCTACCATTGTGTGGGAAACCTGTGCTCTCTGCCCTATGCTGTGGTTCCACCCACCAACCAGGACGCCACTGCTATCCCATGGTGCAGTACAGGCTGGCAAGTGGGAACACATTATTCTTAGGGGGGTTCAGATATACAGGGGAAATCTACCAATGGGAACTCTTGCGACAATTATCTAATTCTTCCGTTTGTGTCTACAGGACATGAAGTGAAGGCACAGTAATTCTTCCCAATGGGACACAGCTGGGGGAAAAAAAACTGACAGGGGTTAGAGCCATCCCTACTCTATCCAAAACTAAAAAAAAAGTTTTTTAGCTTTAGATATACTGTAATGCACCAAAAAGGCCAATCTAAGTTTATTCTTCATTAAAACCGTATAGATGGCAGATATATTAGGTGTAATAATAACATTTTAAGCGGAACTTCACCCAGGGGAAGTTCCGCTTGTTTGCATCCCCCCCCTCCAATGCCACATTTGGCACTTTTTTGGGGGGGAGCAGGTACCTGGTTTTGACAGGTACCCGCTTGCATTTCCAGTTAGATCATCGCAGCGACATTCGGCCCCTCCTCCTTCTCCCCGCAGCCTTCTGGGCCACATCACAGGTCCCAGAAGACTGCAGGACTGTTCACAAAGCGCAGGGTGGCTCATGCATGTGCAGTAGGAAACTGGCTGTGAAGCCAGAAGGTTTTCCTTACCCAAGATGCCGATGCCTGCACTCGAAGCTGACTGAAGAATTGGCTCAAGTGAGGACATCGCTGGATCCCTGGACTTGCAAGTGTCCTTATATTAAAAGTCAGCAGCTAGCTGCCGACATTTAATTTTTTGGGGAAGACTGGAGCTCCTATTTAACCTCTTGCCCTCCAGAGGATTTACCCCCCTTCCTGACCAGGCCATTTTTTGCAACACGGCGCTGCGTTACTTTAACTGACAATTGCGCAGTCACGCAATGCAGTACATAAATGAAATGTATGTCCTTTTCCCCCACAAATAGAGCTTTCTTTTGGTGGTATTTGATCACCTGTGCGGTTTTTATTTTTTGCGCTATAAACAAAAAAAAACTGACAATTTTGAAAAAAAAAAAACAATATTTTTGACTTTTTGCCATAAAACATATCCAGTAAAAAAATTTTTAAAAAATCAAAATTTCCTCATAAATTTATGCCAAAATGTATTCTGCCACAATGTCTTTGCTACAAAAAACCCAATACATGCAAATTAATTGGTTTCTGTGAAAGTTATAGCGTCTACAAATGGCAGTATATATACTGGAATTTTTATTTTAAATGTTTTTTTACACTAGTAATGACAGTGATCAGCGACTTATAGGCATTCTGACACTGGGTGGGAACTGACTAACTGCCACTGACATCCCCAGTGACACCAATACAGTGATCAGTACTAATAAAAAAACACCAACACTGTACAAATGACACTGGGCAGGAAAAGGGTTAAGATGCAGGGTTTTACATAATGTGCTGTGTATGTTTTACTAGGGAGACATACTGCTGTGTATTTCTCTGCTGTGCAGAGAAACACACAGCAGCATGTCCTTGCAGGCAGGAGAGAGACCTATGTTGTTTACACACAGGTCTCTTCCCTGTCAGCTTTGCACAGCGATCGCCAGGTGCCAGGGGGAAATCTCAAGCTAGGACCCGGTGATCAACATGGCTAGCCACCAATGACGGTGGTGGTAGGGCAGCACGTGTGCGTGAGCGGGCGCCCCCTACCTAAAAATGCAAAAATCATATATATATATATATATATATATATATATATATATATACACATACATACATACACACACACACATATTATATATATATATACACATATATACATACATACACACAAATGATATTGCGCAGCCCTGCCGCCCTGGAGCAGTAATTCTACTATAGGGTGGTGGGCAAGCGGTTAAGAACTTTCTCACACTATTAGTAACAGCTGTCTTCCATGTCAAATTTCAGTTTAAATCCATCAATTATCAATAATCATACAGGGATCAATTTATAAAGCAGCGGTCTGATCTAAATATGGTCATATTTTTTACTTTTAAAACTTCCTCCTACATATTTGCACTTCTGTGTGCTATATTAATGTTTTTTTTGCGCTTCACTTATTTTGATATGGCAAGCAAAGAAATATTAAATTCCAATGAATGGTGGAAAAAAAAAAAAAGGTGCAAACCTGTCATATGACCTGAAACAGATCCTGTGACAGGGCTTGACTCCTGCAGCAAATGTTCTCTGTTTGTATGCCCAAAATATAGGAGAACATGAACAACTTTTATTCTCTGAGGAAACAAAGAAGGAGTATTATTAAGTCCTTTCAAAGACGCAGGAGTGCTGTTTAAACTACTTAGTCCTTGCAATTATCGGTCTGTACAAAGTGGATTGGAGGCCCATTGGAGTATAACAGCCACTTGTGGAGGTGTGTGTGTGTGAGGAGAAACACGGTATATGGTAGCACAGATTTATCACCTAATGTGTGGATTATATTTGCACTGCTCACTATTTTGTACTTTATTAAGGTCTATATGGACAATTTATTTGAGTATTTGTGATTGCATATTTTTTTAATTTATTCACATATTTGTTTGGAAAGTGTATGAAAGTGCGGTCAAACTCTTGAGGTTTGAGAACTGCACTGCATCTGAGCACCATAAACCAAAAAATGCTATTTATTTCATTGTTAATATTCAATGCACACTCCCCCATGCATGTCTCCATGCTTTATTTTGCTGAGAGATCATTTTGAAAAACACCCCTTGGCATTTCTGTCAGTGGCCATCTTGAGTAAGGGCAGATGATTTATGTAGCGTTTTCTTCCTGGAATCTATCAGCTCTTAGTTCAGGCATTGGTTAAGTTGAGAACCCTCCCTCCCCTCCTGAAGATTGCTGGGATGTATGACATCATTTGCCTGGGCATGGAAACCAGGAAGTAACTGAGGAAATGTAAAAAAAAGTTTAAAACAAATAAATATGATATGCGTTCCTATCTATTTACTAATGCTAGCAGCATAAGTCCTCATGCACACTGGGCATTTTTACAGCTGCTGTTTTTGGCTTTTGATGTTTTTTTCTACAGCCAGTAAACTCCCCAGCATGTTATCCTATGTGTCCATGCACACAGAGACTGTAATCAACGTGTTTTGGCTGGGTCGTTTTTTGGTTGGAAAAAACCCCCAGAACAAGTGGGTTTCTAGAGGAGTTTTTAGCTGTACAAATGCTCTAACGCCGAAAAACGCAGCAAAACATGGTAAGTCGCCGCAAACCAGCATTTTTGGATGTTTTTTTGACCCCCCAAAAATATTTTTTTGGTAAAAAAAAAACGATAAAAACAAAAATGCGGCAAAACGCCACTAATTGCAGCAAAACGTCACTAAACGCTAACGCAAAAATGCTAAAAAAAAGCAGAAAAACTCACATTTTTAACATGACTTTACACAGCTAACATTACCAGCGTTATCAAAGCGCCCCTTGTGCATGAGGACTAAGGCTCTATATACATGGGATGTTTAGAAAACACTTCTGAACGATGGAAACTGACTGCGGAAAACGTAGGTTAAAAAACTGTTTATTATTATTATTATTATTATACAGGATTTATATAGCGCCAACAGTTTGCTCAGCGCTTTACAATATACAGTAACGGGAGACAATACAGCAACAATACAGTTCAATACAAGAGGGTTAGGAGGGTCCTGCTCCTTGGAGCTTACAATCTAGGAGGGAGTTTAGCCGCGTTTGCATATCATATTTATGCGCGTTTATGATAATTTGTGTTTAGAAGTGTTTTTTTTAAAGATAACCTGAGGAGACCTTCCAAAATGCCCAGAATACACTGGAAAACAGTAAAAAAAAAAAACTATTTCAGATATTTTGAGAAAAAAAGAGAGAGCAGAAGCAGAGAGAGCTATATTTGTTGAGATTAGCTGTCTTTTTTTTTCTGTGCAGAAATTATTGCAGCCATGTCTAACATATTTTCTTTCATGTGAAACCTCAAAGTACAGTGTACCAGGTCCATTTGAGTATCGGGAAAACGCTTTGCATGCTTTTTTCATGATGAAAAAAAGGCTCTGGACATATGGAAATGGAAGAGTTAAAAAAAATTTCCAAACGCAAACCCTTATAAATGCGGTTAGCCACATTTACAAGACGCTGATAAAATCTACTCCTGAACGCAAGTTTGGTGCGTTCAAAAAAACGACTGTAAACTCAGCTGCCTGTAAACGACTGTAAACGACATAGTGGACATGGACACATAGGAAAACATTAGGGAGAGTTCAGGGGCTGCTGAAAACAACGCAAAAAAGCTCCTAAATGATAGTTTATCAGCTGCAGTGTACATGGAGCCTAAGGATTAAAAATAGTCCATGTTGATTGAGAGAGTGAAGTTCTACTTTAAAGTGTTCTCTATTGTGTTATGTAGAGAAAACGCGGCAGGACATGGGTGCTTGTAAACTGAATTCTGATTTTTATAAATAAAATGTCACATGTGGGCACTGTGTAGTTTCTGTAGCGATGCTCCTGCAGTTGGTGAAGTAATAGCTTTTACCTTTATAAATCAGCCCCTTCATGTAGATTATGATTGCATTGCTATTTTCTGAAGGTTTCACAAAAATCATAGTTCAAGGGATCTGGTCTTGTTCTGGCCAATCAGAAAAGTACTGTATGTTCTATTTTGGGACTGATAAAAGGTGGGTTGAGAGGAAAGATGGTGACATAAAATGAGATAATGATGTCAAATCTTTTGTACCAACTCAGACTTACTCTGGAAATCAGGAAGTCCAGATAGCTTAGGGGCATCAAGTAACCAGTCCGTGAGCTCACTTGTGCCAAGGATGTTGCTGCGGAACTGTTTCCCTCCATTTACATTCCAAGTACCCATGGCCACACGAGTCTTTTTGTAATTTGTAAACTCAAATTGCCGTTCTGACATTGCTTTTACCACACTGGGATTCACTGTAATACAAAAAAAAAAACATATAGTATTTGAAAAGATGATTAGATCACATTTCACATTCACATTTCAATGCATTCATTTTCTTATATACTTGGTGATTCTGCCAGTAACAAACCTCCTGTTTTAGGAGGTCTGAAGAAGCAGGACTACAGAACAACTCCCCCTCTTCCTTTTCATAACAGGGGGGGGGGGGGGTTCTGTAGTCCACATTTTCAAAACATGGACGGGGGGGGGGTCTGTAGTCCACAGAGATAGCTGTACGTTTTGCTTACAGTGCAGCAGTGTACGAGAAGTCAGTGGTGTATTTAGGTTTCGTGCTGCCCTAGACAACACAAAAATTGGCTACCCTCCCCACGGAGAGACCCTGACACTGACCAACACCCGCCTCCCCCACGGATAGAGCGTTACATTGACCAACAATACCCTAGCCCCCCCCCCACCCGAGAGAGCCTTCCACTACCACTGCCCCCCATACACTGGCAACCCCCCACCCAACAAGACATAAGACACTCATCTTCACAGCTCCGGACATCCCCGGGAACAAGGGTCTGCATACACCATCAAGCAGCATGCAGCCTCTCTCAGATCCCACCTGGTCCTCATGCTGCGTGTGTCCCTTCTTTCTTTTCTTCTTTAGGGGGACGGCGCTGCCCCCCTGAGAAATGCCACCCTAGGCAAATGCCTTGTTTGCCTTGTGGCAAATACACCCCTGCGAGAAGTTACAAGCCAACAAGATTTCTACTAGGAACAGAAGGTATACTTTTGTACTTATGGCGCAGATATAATGAAATGTTTTCAATGGCATATTTTACAGACCAAAAAAGAGCAAATAAGAGACGTTCATGTACAGTGCATACACATAATTTAAAGCAGAACTTTTAACACACTGAATAGTTTGCTTGATCCAATTTGTCCAAACTATTTCCCATACTATGTGCTCTTGGTGGGCACGTGTGTATTAACTGTATGTAGCCTTAGCTACATACAGTATACAAAGCTGTGTTCCGGCAGCAGGACAAGAACTTCCCGTTTCACTTCTGGAACAAACACAATTCTGGCTGAGTGCTGCTCAGCCATTTACAGGATGCTTTGTATTCTATGAATGGGTATAAAGCTTCCTCTGATTGGCTGAGGCAGAGTTTGTGATGTCATCCATCTGCCTCTCCGCCTTAGCCAATCAGAGAAAGCTTTGTATTCATTCGTAGATTTTGTTTCAGAAATGAGATGGGAAGTTCTTGTCCCACTGCTGGAACACAGCCATGTATACTGTATGTACCTGAGGCTATATACAGGTAATACAGCGTGCCCAACAACTGCACCTGTTAGTGCAGTAAATAGTTTGGGCTAGGTTGTCCCAAATGAACTTTTTAAAAATTTTTAAATGAGTTATGCTTTAACCCCTTGGCGCCGGCGCCTCCCGGCCATTTAAGGGTTTCAGAAGCCGGGAGGTGGGGCGAGGTTATAGGGTCATGGGACCCGCCGTGATTCGCCATCACGGCGGTCACATGATTGGGAAAGGTCCCGATCGAAAGAGGAGATCGGGACCTTTCTGTGAGTACCGGACATGTGTGTTGGGGAGCGCGCAGGGCGCGCGCTCTCAGCACGTATTTCTCTTAATTGCACACAAATGTGCGTCCGCCGCTCGGCGTCTAGGATCAGACGCCGGGAAGCCGCACATTTGTCCATCCATCTAAATCCATCTTATACAGTATTAAACCCAAAAGCAAAAATGTTTTATATAACAGTTTACCAATTCTAACCTCTAACACTCCCCTACCCCCAGACTGACAATGCTGCTGTCCAAATGTGCTACAGTGCTCCATCATCCAAAGTAGGGACACTAATACAGGGGATGTGTTACTGGCCAGATAACAAGGTAAAACACAGGGGAAAAAAAAATATATAAATAAAAAAGGAAAACTAATACATCCATATCTAATGATTAGTAAGCTGTAATATATTACATTTTTGGTTTTGGGTTTAATACGGTTTAAATTTGCTTTGATCAGCTTCTTAAAATAACATTCCTTTCACAGCCCCCAGCTAGTGCTGATATTGGTGGGGAGGATAGATTTTAAAATGTAAACATTTTTGATTTCAATCATTTTTATTGAAGTTTCAACGGAGCATATAGCCAGCAATAATAGCAGAACATACTGGTACATAAGAAAAAAAGTGTTTGCCAACACGTGAGAGTGTACAAAATTACATAAGCTCAAGTTCCATATCAGAAACATATAAGATAGGGGAGGGATACACACAATTCCCCTTTTTTATAACAACCTTGCAATTTTCCCCCCCAACAAAACACCTCCCAAAGCTCTTTGAGATATCGTTCTCAGTACCAGAGGCTGACATCAGAGTAACAAAATAGAGAAAGAAAAAGCAGAAGAAAAAGGAAAAAAAAGAGGAAGGGGGGGGGGGGATTAGAAAGACAGGTCCGGAAAGATTCCTAGGTGGTGCCTACCCTCGTCTCCTGAGAGAAGCAATCACAGTATAACATTTATGTATTTAGCCCAGGGCTCCCACGTTAATTCAAATTTTGCCACGGTATCTGAACACGTCACCATTTTTCTCAGTAAATATATTTCTAGAGGGTGTTATTGACATGAAATTTCCACCACATTTTGGTAACAACACATGCAATCCATACATACAAAGAAACCAAAACAAATAAGTTCAGAAATGAAGTTATGTGTAATAAAATGAAATGACACAGGGAAAAAGCATTGAAAACACTAACTGAAATTTATGTAATACTTCATACAAAATCCTTTATTGGCAATGACAGCTTCAAGACACCTCCTGTATGGAGAAACTAGTCAAATGCATTGCACAGGTGTGTTTTTGGCCCATTCTTCCACACAGTCTTCAAATCTTGAAGGTTCCGGTGTCTTGACCTACTGTGCCTATTTGCACTTCCCTTTCTTCATGTGTTCAATACTTTTCCCTGTGCCATTCCATTTTATTACACATAACTTAATTTCTGAACTTATTTGTTTTGGTTTCTTTGTATGTATGAATGGTATGGATTGTTAACAACATGTAGTGAAAATTTCATGTCAATAGCCTCTCCCTCTCCATATATATATATATATATATATATATATATATATATATATATATATATCCATCAAGTACAGTGCTTTCATTGGACTTATTATTGGTTTACATGTAATATTACACTCAGATTGTCAGATACATATTACCAAGAAGAGCAGCACTATCCATAAACATCCTTCCTTTGTCTGCATATTCATCATTGTAGAAGTCACCCATGAGCAGCAAATCGATAGCTTCCTGCTTTGCACCATCAAAGAAGTTTTGTCTGAATAGTCCTGGACACAGTACGGGCTCCATCTTTAAGTTTTCCAACCTTTATTAGAAGAAGATTGACTGCAGTAAGTACTACATTTAATTCTATTCCCAGAATTTAACAACAGGACAATGAGTAACATTACACCAGCAATGCTTTACACTGGCAAACCCACAAATGAGGTTGATTTACCAAAAACTGGAGCGTGCAAAATCTGGTGCAGCTCTACATAGAAACCAATCAGCTTCCAGATATTGTTGGCAAAGCTTAATTGAACAAGCTAAAGTTAGAAGCTAATTGGCTACAATGTACAGCTGCACTGGATTTTGAAATCTTCAACCCCAGTGCCTTTCTCCAGTGAATCCATTAGAGCTAGAATAGATCTTGCTTAACCCCTTAACGCTGACATAACACAAATATGCGGCCTCATAGAACTGGGCTTTTTTCCGTGGGGCTGCATATTTGCGTACCTGTCTTTGTGCTGGGAGCGCGCAGCACAGCACGCTCCCAGCACAAAGACCACGGTGTCACTGAGAGCACCAGGTCCCATTCTAACGATCGGGACCCAGGACTCCCGATTCCAGGTCACATGATCGCTGTGATAGCCTCTGATTGGCGCTATCACAGTGATCAGTCACCGTGCAGGCCGACCCCCTTGTATTTTTCTCTCTCTATGAATGAACAAGAGAAATACATTGTATCTCTTTAACTCCTGGCACAGAGAGAAAAAAAATGTTTGTAGAAAAAGAAAAAAAAAGATAAATAAATATTAAAAAATAAAATAAAAAATACCTAGATCAAGGTTTGATCTAGTTCAGTGCCAGGGTTAGTGTTTGGGTCAAGGTCAGGGTCAAAGGTCAAGGTCAGGATTTAAAAAAAAAAATTGGTGTCAGTGTGTTTTAGGTAAAAAAAAAAAAAAAAGACAAAAACAAAATGTGCACTATTGTTTCTGTGCTGTACTACAGGTACAAACAACAAATCACATACACATATATGGTATCGCTGCGATCATCAAGAGCTGGAGAATTTATTTTGGGTTGCTCTTTGGTGGTAGGTTATGGTAGTAACAAGAAATACACAGCTAAATAAAAAAAAATTTTTTTTTTACTATTTTGGGACAGGTTTCCTTTGATAATAAAAAAAAAAATAAGGAGATATCCATTACCATTTACCACCAAATGAAAGCCCAATTTGTCCTGAAAAAAATGTGGTATAATTCACCTGGATGTACAAAGTAGTTGTGATGGTATGTACGGTTTTACTAACACATGTCAAAGTTGCAAAATTGTGCTTAGGCATTAAAATTTGTTTCACCCTTAGGCACGAAAGGGTTAAATAAACAAGCTGAAGTTAGAAGCAGATTGGCTATCATGCACTGCTGCCCCAGATTTTGCACTCTTCAATTTTAGTAAATAAACGTTGTAAAATTGTGCTTAGGCATTTCGATTTGTTTTACCCTTGGGCGTGAAGGGGTTAAACTGGTAATACTCCCATTTTAAATATGATATTGTTATGTGTATTCTAAAAGCTGTTGAACACAATAATGTCAGTAATGATATATTAAAAAGGCAATTTATTCTATGAGATGCAATAAAATGCAAAACAATAGCAGTTTTGTAAGAAGTCCTAATTAATTTACCTCCTATAAGATTCTACAGAAGTAAACCTTTGATATAAGAAATACATAGAGTGTCCACTCTTGTCTTCATTCCAAATGACCTCTTGAAAAAAATGGACTAAATGGGAAATACTTATTTAAAAACAAAACTAAACATTTTCCTGTGTTAAGGGTCCTTTCAAACTTTTGCGCTTTTTCCCTTCTGTCTTCCATTGAAAAGATGTCATATGAGTTTACATGTGCATATTCCCTGCATCCCAACAGACTGCGACTGATTCCCATCTCTCCTGTCAACTTATAGGGAGACAGGAATCAAATATAGCCTATAGACCTGCAGTGCACATGTACCACATTGAAGAGATGAAAAAAGTTGAAGTTGTCAGGCAGCACAGAGTCACTTAACATTGAAAAGTGATTACTTTTCTTTCCTATAGGCTAGATAGACCCTGGATAGAGGATATGTACAGGTGAAACTCGAAAAATTAGAATATCGTGCAAAAGTTCATTTATTTCAGTAAATGCAAAAAGGTGAATCTAATATATGAGATAGACTCATTACATGCAAAGCAAGATAGTTCAAGCCGTGATTTGTCATAAGTGTGATGATTATGGCTTACAGCTCATGAAAACCCAAAAACCACAATCTCAGAAAATTAGAATATTGTGAAAAGGTGCAATATTCTAGACTCAAAGTGTCCAACTCTAATCAGCTAATTAAGCCATAACACCTGCAAAGGGTTCCTGAGACTTTAAAATAGTCTCTCAGTCTGGTTCAGTAGGAATCACAATCATGGGAAAGACTGCTGACCTGAGAGTTGTGCAGAAAACCATCATTGACACCCTCCATAAGGAGGGAAAGCCTCAAAAGGTAATTGCAAAAGAAGTTCCCAAAGTACTGTATCAAAGCACATTAATAGAAAGTTAAGTGGAAGGGAAAAGTGTGGAAGTAAAAGGTGCACAATATTTCAATAGTGCACGATATTCTAATTTTTTTCGAATTTTACCTGTATGTTTGGAAGGTCATTGTGTAGTTTTTCTTTAAATTATTATAATTTCCAGAACATATAGTCTGTTTAATGCAGATACAGACTGGCATTCGGTCATTGTGGTGGTTCTCTAAGAGTCTGAGATACATATTGAAAATGTATTTTATAGTTCCAGGTTTTATCTTGCATACCTTAGCTTTGCCCTCCAGAGCTCTGCTTCCTGTGAATATCATGCTCAGGTTATGACCATTGACAGACCACATAGATTTGTAAGACTCTTCAAACCGCTCTATCACAGACTTCATATCATCTAAACCAAGACTCTCAAGCTGGGTTCGCAGCACCTAGAAAAAAAAGCAACAGATCATCAAAATGTATTTCCCTTCAACCAATTTAATGCACCCATGCTAAGCATTGTGGTTCAATCTGTTGGCCTGTACATCACTACTGTGTCCCATAGTGACATGGAGTTGGCAGCTCAAACTACATAGTGCAGAGGGGTGGAACCAAGCATCCCAAAATTCCTGGAAGTATCAGATGCAGAAGATTCTTCAGCATGTTTTAATTCCTCGAGAGAGCAAAGATCAGAGGTGTGAGCAGCAGGACAGGTGAGGATTAGGTCTTTTCTTTGGAGGAAGACCTTTTTTTTTGAAGACTTTATTCTAGTAACATACAGTCAGGTCCATAAATATTGGGACATCTACACAATTCTAACATTTTTGGCTCTATACACCACCACAATAGATTTGAAATGGAACGAACAAGATGTGCTTCAACTGCAGACTGTCAGCTTTAATTTGAGGGTATTTACATCTAAATCAGGTGAACGGTGTAGGAATTACAACAGTTTGCATATGTGCCTCCCACTTGTTAAGGGACCAAAAGTAATGGGACAATTGGCTTCTCAGCTGTTCCATGGCCAGGTGTGTGTTATTCCCTCATTATCCCAATTACAATGAGCAGATAAAAAGGTCCAGAGTTCATTTCAAGTGTGCTATTTGCATTTGGAATCTGTTGCTGTCAACTCTCAAGATGAGATCCAAAAAGCTGCCACTATCAGTGAAGCAAGCCATCATTAGGCTGAAAAAACAAAACAAACTCATCAGAGAGATAGCAAAAACATTAGGCGTGGCCAAAACAACTGTTTGGAACATTCTTAAAAAGAAGGAACGCATCGGTGAGCTCAGCAACACCAAAAGACCAGGAAGACCACGGAAAACAACTGTGGTGGATGACCGAAGAATTCTTTCCCTGGTGAAGAAAACACCCTTCACAACAGTTGGCCAGATCAAGAACACTCTCCAGGAGGTAGGTGTATGTGTGTCAAAGTCAACAATCAAGAGAAGACTTCACCAGAGTGAATACAGAGGGTTCACCACAAGATGTAAACCATTGGTGAGCCTCAAAACCAGGAAGGCCAGATTAGAGTTTGCCAAGCGACATCTAAAAAAGCCTTCACAGTTCTGGAACAACATCCTATGGACAGATGAGACCAACATCAACTTGAACCAGAGTGATGGGAAGAGAAGAGTATGGAGAAGGAAAGGAACTGCTCATGATCCTAAGCATACCACCTCATCAGTGAAGCATGGTGGTGGTAGTGTCATGGTGTGGGCATTGTATGGCTGCCAATGGAACTGGTTCTCTTGTATTTATTGATGATGTGACTGCTGACAAAAGCAGCAGGATGAAAATCTGAAGTGTTTCGGGAATATTATCTGCTCATATTCAGCCAAATGCTTCACAACTCATTGGACGCCGCTTCACAGTGCAGATGGACAACGAACCCAAAGCATACTGCAAAAGCAACCAAAGAGTTTTTTTTAAGGATAAGAAGTGGAATGTTATGCAATGGCCAAGTCAATCACCTGACCTGAATCCGATTGAGCATGCATTTCACTTGCTGAAGACAAAACTGAAGGGAAAAATGCCCCAAAAACAAGCAGGAACTAAAGACAGTTGCAGTAGAGGCCTGGCAGAGCATCACCAGGGATGAAACCCAGCGTCTGGTGATGTCTATGCGTTCCAGACTTCAGGCTGTAATTGACTGCAAAGGATTTACAACCAAGTATTAAAAAGTGAAAGTTTGATGTATGATTATAATTCTGTCCATTACTTTTGGTCCCTTAACAAGTGGGAGGCACATATGCAAACTGTTGTAATTCCTACACCGTTCACCTGATTTGGACGTAAATACCCTCAAATTAAAGCTGACAGTCTGTAGTTAAAGCACATCTTGTTCGTTTAATTTCAAATCCATTGTTGGTGGTGTATAGAGCCAAAAATGTTAGAATTGTGTCGATGTCCCAATATTTATGGACCTGACTGTATAGCTTTAACCGCTTCCCTGATGCCCTATAGCAGAAGTACTGCTACAGGGAGGCAGGACTGTGCAAAATCACGTGATTTGCATTCCCGTGCAGGGGGCACGCACACCGCCCTACCCGCACCACCATTGGGAACTACAGATATCAATCACTGGTTCCTGGCCGGAAAATTCCCTGTCGGCACCCGGCGATCACCAAGTAACACTGACAGGGGAGAGACCTGTGTGTAAACAACACAGGTCTCTCTCCTACCAGCAGGAACATACTGCTGTGTATTTTTCTGCACATCAGAGAAACACAGCAGCATGTTTCCCTAGTAAAACACACACACCACATTATGTAAAAACAGCACACAGTTAACCCTTTGATCACCCCAGATGTTAACCTCTTTCTGCCCAGTGCCACTAGTACAGTGCACTGCTTTTTGTTAGCACTGATCACGGTATTAGTGTCACTGGGGATGTCAGTGGCAGTTAGTCAGTTCCCACCCAGTGTCAGAATGCCCGCTACAGTCCTGCTATAAGTCGCTGATCACCGCCATTACTAGTATAAAAAATAAAAATAAATAAATTCCAGTATATATACCGTCATTTGTAACTTTCAAGTAAACCAATTAATTTACATGTATTGGGATTTCTTTTAGTAAAGACATGTAGCAGAACACATTTTTGCCTAAATTTATGATAAAATTTTATTTTTTTTTTTTTTTTTACTGGATATGATTTATAGCAAAAAGTAAAAAAATATTGTTTTTTTTTTTTTTTTTTTAAATTGTCGGTCTTTTTTTTTTTGTTTATAGCGCAAAAAAAAAACCGCAAGGTGATCAAATTCCATTGACAGAAAGTTCTATTTGTGGGAAAAAAGGACAAAAAAATATAAATTTATGTACAGTGTTCAATGACTGTGCAATTGCCAGTTAAAGTAACGCAGCGCCATATCACAAAAAATGGCCTGGTCAGGAAGGGGGGTAAATCCTCTGGACGGCAAGTGGTTAAATATTACTGGCAAAATATTATTTGAAAGTAAAATTGAAAATAAAATAAATGATCAACGATATGTTTTCAACAACTTAAAATTATACTGTAAAATTAAATTCACCTTAATTCAGGATGAGAATCAGAAAAAAGGCAGTTCAAGTGATTGCAAGGCTTTTTTTTCCCCAAAATACCAAACATGTTATACTTACCTGCTCTGTGCAATTGTTTTGCACAGAGTGGCCCTGAGCCTCCTCTTCTCAGGTTCCTCACTGGTAATCCTGGCTCTTCCTCGAGTTCCCCCGTAACAAGCCACTACCATGGGGGCATTTGTGGGCTTTATCCCAAGCTAGGCTTGTGTGCGTCTATAGACACACACAGCATGGCTCAGCCCAACCCTCGCGCCCTCCTCACAGGATTTGACTGGCTGCAGAAGCTATAGGTTCCTGCTGCTGCCAAGTCTCCCGTGGAAAGAGAGAGGGTAGAAGAGCTGCTGCAGACAGTCACAGTGCTGGATCGAGGTCAGGCTCAGGTAAGTGTTTAAAGGGAGGCTGGGGGAGCAACTTTTGAAAGATTTGTTACCTTATTGCAGAGAATGCATTAAAGTGGAACTTCACTCTCTCAATCAACATTGACTATTTGGATTCCTTCTGCTACTAGCATTAGTAAATAGATAGGAAAATATAACATGTTTACTTGGTTTACACTTTTTAAAAATTTTCTTCCGTTAATTCCTGGTATCTAGGCCTAGGCAAATTATGTCATACATCCCAGGAGTCTTCAGGAGGGGAGGAGGGGTTTTCTCAACTAAATAGACCCTCCTGCCTGCATACCTGAGCTAAGGGCAGATGGATTCCAGGAAGTAAAAGCTGAATTATCTGCCCTTGCTCAAGATGGCCACAGTCAGATATGCTGGGGTGTCTTTAAAAGTGATTTCTTTGCAAAATAAACCATGGAGACATGGATGGATCGGGGAGTTTGTTTTGAATATCAAAATGAATTAAAATGCATTTTTATGTGGTGGTGCTCTGATGCAGTATGATCCACTTTAAGGTTAAAAAAAAAAAACTTTTTTGCCTTTATAACCCCTAAATTACCATATTGATATTAAGATAATTTCTAATTACAAGGTCTACTCCAATGATAAAATTATAATAAGAAATACCTACCTCAAGTGCAATGTATGCTTGAACACCATTTGTGCGATGTAAGCAGTCTAGACAATTTATTCGAAAAGTTCCCTTCTGCATCCTGTTAAGAAATATTCCCAAGATCAATCATCATCAAAAACCTTCTATACTTAATAAGATCTCTTATTCTAAGAAACACTTTCAAATTCCTAATGACAGAAATATGCAGATCTCTAAATATTACCAATGAATGTTAAGGTTCCCATTTATCCAGGTCATGGTATGGCTAGAAGTATTTAGTCATATGCCACTGGACCTATTCTGTAACGCTGAAGATGTCACAAATAATGAGAGTCTTATGTGCTGCTAAGGGGATAAACCTACCCTAAAAGCTGCAAGCACAAACAGTGTACCACCACTCAATAGACCAATAAACAAATGAAAAGTGCTGCGCTATAACCTAGCATGTGCCCAAAACCTAAATAATACCCCTAGCTGAAAAATAATAATTAAGGAGTGCTAACAAATATATATAAACAAATGTGGAAAATAAATACCTGACAGAGCCTCCCTTAAAGGCTATAAACACAATATCAGTTTAATATGAGAGTGAGCATTTTTTACCAGCGACCTAATACTCACATTTTTTAAATATACCTCAGTGGCTCACAAGTTAATTTGTTGTTTTTTTATTGACAATATCAGTTTAAAGTGTATAAGAGATGAAAAACACTAATCAAAAATACATAAACAAGGTATTAATAATAAAGTAAACACCTGGCTGACACCAGTATTCACAACATAGTAAACACCCAGCAAACCAAAAAAGTCTTAGCCATGCAGGTGAACAAAGGTGCTTAGCATAAATGAACTACTGAATATTATGACAAAGTGATCAAATGGAAAATAAATGAAAAATAAAGGTGATCAATACACCTTAACAGTCCCATGTGGCTGTAATAAGTCCTACTCAAAATTCAATGGTATGCAAGTGATCAGAGGATCTATTTCTTGATACACCACTGTGTCACCACCACCAGGCGTGCACGTTGACGAGCGGTCAAACAAGTACTCAATCCAAATCCTCAATCCTCTGTGTAATCAGGCTGGTGGGCATCACCTCCTATTCAGGGCTAATGGGCATCTCTTCTGGACAGTGACGAACTGCAGGATGCGCTCAATTATGAAGAGAAGGGCTTCTCAGAGTGCAACCAATCTTTATTTTTTCACACAAACACATAAAATGAAATCACAGCTCACATGCAGGAAATATATCAGGGCAAAAGACTCTCATACAGCATATCACACTGGCATAAACAAAGATGGTGGCGATCATGCGCCCCACGTGCCAGAAATGACAGTCACCACGCTTCCATCCGACGTGTTGCATTACGCATCATGTGACTTCTTCTGGGATCACCTTTACTTTTCATTTATTTTCCATTTGACCATTTTGTCATATTATTATATCAGTTCATTTATACTAAGCACCTTTATTCACCTACACGGCTAAGACGTTTGGTTCCCAGGATATTTACTATATTGTGAATACCAACATCGGCCAGGTGTTTACTGTATAATTAATACCTTGTTTATGCATTTTGATTAGTATTTACACAGTGTTATTCATCTCTTATACACTTTACACTGATATTGTATTTATAGCCTTTGAGGGAGGCTCTGCCGTGTGTTTATTTTCCACAGTTGAAGATGTCACCCACTCCTTATGGTTTTTTCTTTTTTTCAACAAGAAACAGAATACAAACAGAAACTGTGAAAAAATAGTTGAATGCTACAGCACCAGTAGCGAGTATGGCGGAAGGATCTTCAAACTCAAAAACTTCTGAAAGATGTAAATAACACGGTACAAACAATAGATTATCCAAAGGGTTACCAAATCTTCAATGTTTGACTAACAAAGTGCACAATCACAAAATCAGTATACCCAAAGAGAGCATATGTGAATCACCACATAAAGAGGCCCGGAGGATCAGCAAGCAAGCTGAGATCATAACATAATCAGAAATCGTTGACATGGAGTTAACCCACCCTCCCCAAACCTTGTCAGATTTGTCTGGTACCCCCCCTGTTGGCATAGGTGGCTTTGTAGAGAGGCAGGATTTTATTTATCAACGCTTTCCAGGCCAGCTTCCTTACTTTTAATGAGAATAGAGGAAAACATCTTCAACGTTACAAAACAAGTCCAGTTAAATATGACTAGATACTATTAGCAATAACCTATTCAAATTTCGCCTCCGCTCAGACAGTTAGTGATATACAAACTAGCTATTCTACCAGATACTCTTATGTACAGTGGATATAAAAAGTCTACACACCCCTGTTAAATGTCAGGTTTCTGTGATGTAAAAAAATGAGACAAAGATACATCATTTCAGAACTTTTTCCACCTTTAATGTGACCTATAAACTGTACAACTCAGTTGAACAACAAACTAAAATCTTTTAGGTGAAGGGAATTAAAAATAAACTAAAATAATATGGTTGCATAAGTGTGCACACCCTTAAACTAATACTTTTTGAAGCACCTTTTGATTTTATTCCAGCACTCAGTCTTTTTGGGTATGAGTCTGTCAGCATGGGACATCTTGAATGGCCAATATTTGGCAACTCTTCCTTGCAAAAACACTCCAAATCTGTCAGATTGCGAGGGCATCTCCCTGTGCACAGCCCTCTTCAGAACACCCACAGATTTTCAATGGATTTAGGTCTAGGCTCTGGCTGGGCCATTCCAAAACTTTAATCTTCTTCCAGTGAAGCCATTCCTTTGTTGGTTTGTATGTATGCTTTGGGTCGTTGTCATACTGAAAGATGAAAGATGAAGTTCCTCTTCATGTTCAACTTTCTAGCAGAAGCCTGAAGGTTTTGTGCCGATATTGACTGGTATTTGGAACTGTTCATAATTCCTTCTACCTTGACTAAGGCCCCAGTTCCCGCTAAAGAAAAAACAGCCCCCAAGCATGATGCTACCACCACCATGCTTCACTGTGGGTATGGTGTTCTTTTGGTGATGTGCAATGTTGTTTTTGTGACAGAAATATCTTTTGGAATTATGGCCAAAAAGTTCAACCTTGGTTTCATTAGACCATTACACATTTTCCCACATGCTTTTGGAAGACTTTAGATGTGTTTTTGCAAAATGTAGTCGGGCTTAGATGTTTTTCTTCGTACGAAAAGGCTTCTGTCTTGCCACTCTACCCATTAGCCCAGACATATGAAGAATACAGGAGATTGTTGTCACATGTACCACACAGCCAGTACTTGCCAGATATTCCTGCAGCTCCTTTAATGTTGCTGTAGGCCTCTTGGCAACCTCCCAGTCCAGTTTTCGTCTTGTCTTTTCATCAATTTTGGAGGGACGTCCAGTTCTTGGTAATGTCACTGTTGCGCCATATTTTCTCCACTTGATGATGACTGTCTTCACTGTGTTCCATGGTATATCGAATGCCTTGGAAATTCTTTTGTACCCTTTTCCTGACTGATACCTTTTAACAATTAGATCCCTCTGATATTTTGGAAGCTCTCTGCGGACCATGGCTTTTGCTGTAGGATGCGACTAAGAAAATGTTAGGAAAGACCTACTAGAACAGCTGAACTTTATTTGGGGTTAATCAGAGGCACTTTAAATGATGGCAGCTGTGTACTGACTCCTATTTAACATGATTTTGAATGTGATTGCTTACTTCTGAACACAGCTACATCCCCAGTTATAAGAGGGTGTGCACACGTATGCAACCACATTATTTTAGTCTTTTATTTTTACTTCCCCCTAAAAGATTTCAGCTTGTTTTTCAAAAGAGTTGTACAGTTTATAGGTCACATTAAAAGTGGAAAAAGTTTTGAAATTATTTATCTTTGTTTAATTTTTTTACATTACAGAAACCTGGCATTTTAACAGAGGTGTGTAGACTTTTTATATCCACTGTATTATTCAAGCACAGTCTGCTGTAAAATCCTTGAGGTGTCAATAGGAGCCATGCTGTTGTAATTCATACCTCACCATTAAATTTTCACAACAGAACACAGGAAACAAGCATTAAAAAAATCTATATATTTACACCATCCAAAACTGTAAAAAAAAAAGAATAAAATACTACTCAGAAAACTGTGTCTGCAAAGGACTATATGCATGGCCAACTCTACAAGAAATAAATTACCACCCACCCCATATTACTGGTTGAAATGAAGACAGGATTATTACTGTTACTACGTTCACCTTCATTTTATGTTCTACCTAACTAACTCAGAGTTATGTCAGAAATACCAACAGCACAAGTCTCCTTGAAACTGCCCTTGCTAGCTCAGACAAACCCAGGCTAAGGAAATTCTAAAACTATTATCATGGCTTGTCCCATACAAATTCCAGCCATGTGGCTGGAAAAGTGGCATAAAATTTTTTTTATTCATTTTGCCAAAACAGGCAAAACTACTTACCTCTTAGTTAGGTTTTCTCCTTTTGTAAAGACCCCAAACTCTTCCAAGTTTAGTTTTAACTGGGGTTTCAGTAAGTTTTCCAACTTCTCTATCTTTCCTCCTTTGACAATCTGGTGGTAATCAAAATTTATCATTGGCACATCTTCTGCATGCTGAGATGCCCATAGTAGCTTCTAAAGAAAAGGAAAAATGACAGTTATTAAAACACTTGTGGAAAGAAAATAGCTGGAATGAAAGTAGACCAGGGCTCCTTCACCTCTTGGTTCAATATAATGAGGTTGAGAAGAAAGAAAATGCCAATTAAATGATGTTCAGGGAACCAAGGTCCAAAATTATTTCACTTTATTCACTATAAGGAGCCTTGTTTATTTTGGACTTTTGCCATTATTTGATTTCCGCTCCTTGACCTCATTACATTTAACTGAAAAATCAGTGTTATTTACCAAGTGTATTACATAGTCAACTTGCAACATTGACTTTATTTGACCATATAATATGAATTTTAAAAATGTCCGACCCCTGGGACCTGAAATAAAAAAATAACCATGCAAAATTTGAATAGCTTATAGGATAATTTGGTGTATGAACAATAGGCAAAGTAATCAACCATCATCACACGTGTTTCCATGAAATACAATCATATATGTTGTAGTAGAAAACAGAAACTATTATGGGTCCTGGCAGTACTCAATGACATACCTAAGCCTCTTTGCTATCTAATGTTCATGTTATTAAGTGAAATATAACTGAATTTTTTTTTAACTCTGTGTAGGTTATTATTTATTTGTATCATATTGGGAGGCTGAATTAAACCTGAATATACTACTGTTTAGTGTTGTGTTTAATTGCATAGTTGGGGGAAATTTAACCCCCCCCTATATTGTAATTGGACTTTATAGAAATTCTGCATATGTAACAAAAAATACAATGTAGAGAACTCAGATAAGGAATATATTGATTTGTTTTAAAACAAATAAATTATGCAGTTAAAAAATGTAAAACATATTAACCACTTCCTGTCCACAATCCCTATATTTAGATTTCTCAGCATGGTGCCCCATGGTAAGGTATGTTAAACGTGTCCATTAAAAAAAATCCATCATAAATTTAGGCCGAAATGTATTCTGCTACATGTCTTTGCTAAAAAAATCCCAATACGTATAAGTTAATTGTTTTACGTGAAAGTTATAGAGTTTACAAATGGCGGTATAGATACTGGAATTTTTATTTTTTTTTACTAATAATGGCGGCGATCAGCAATTTATAGCGGAACTGCAGCGAGCATTTTGACACTGGGGGGAACTGACTTGGTGTCACTGACATCCCTATTGACACCAATACAGTGATCAGTGCTAAAAAAAAAGCACTGACACTGTACTAATGGCACTGGACAGGAAGAGGTTAACATACGGGGCAATTAAAGGGTTAACTGTGTGCTGAGAGTGTTATACTAGGGGGGCAGGGTGTGATTCACTGTAAGCACACTGCTCTGGATTGGCTGTGCACAGCCATCCAGAGCAGTGTGCCCGAGCCAACAGGGAGGAGGACTGTTAGTAAACAAAGCAGCCTTCCTCCCCATCAGTGATCGTCAGTAATCACCGGGCGCTGGCGGGTAATCACCGGCCTGGACCCGATGATTGACAGCTGCGAATGGCGGCGCGCTTGCGCGCACCCCCGACCCGGAAATGCAAAGTCACGTATATATGCACGTGATTTTGCGCACACTCGTGCCGCCCTCTAGCAGTATATCTGCTAAAGGGTGGTCGGGAAGCGGTTAATGAACATGCTCCTTTAGAGAGCCATTAGCTGAAACATTGGGGTTTATTTACTAAAGCTGGCTCGCTCTGTGCATGGTAGCCAATCAGCTTCTAACCTCAGCTTGTTCAATTAAGGTTTAGCAATAAATCCTGTAAGCTGATTGGTTTCAATGCAGAAGTGCACAGCATTCTGAGCTTTAGAACCAGCTTTAGTAAATAAAACCCTGTGTGTCACTGGGACAGATTAGGTCCGAACTAACAATCCAAAACAAATCTGAGTGGTTCTTGATCATGTCATTATGAACTCAGCTCAGGGGACAAAATGGTCACATGCAGCAGGAAGGTTCTTCATTGCCAAATTAGCAACATTCAGTCCAGCAGACTACATTTGCAAGATGCCACTGCAGCCTGAACGGTGGCAGTGTGCATCTTATTAAAACTAACTCTCAGATACAATGATATTACAGTATTAAAAAAATACAATGCCAAAAATGACCAACAAAAGCTTTCATTGCAGTCCTAAAATAAAGAAAGACTAAATGTGTACATTTAAAAGAAGAAAAGTGGTGTTACTCCTTATAGAGCATCAATTGTCAAAAAACTGCTGCTTCTGTCAGTGCATTATTATTATTATTATTATACAGTATTTATATAGTGCCAAAAGATTTGCAAAACAAATCTGAGTGGTTCTTGATCATGTCTGTCACATAAAATTATAGTGGGGGACAGTACATGAGACAATACAGTACAAAACAATACACGAGGGGTTCAAGGCCCTGCTCTTTCAAGCTTACAATCTAGTGGTGGAGCATTACAAATATATATTTGACAAACTAAATCAGTAGATAGCAGACGGGCAGTTTTTATTAAATTTCAATAATGATAAAAACAATACAAAAATATTCTTAAAGGCTTAAATCCATCTAAATAATTATTTATACACATGATATTACTTCAGGTTACCAAATGTATCAAACTATTCATAAACGTATATTTACAGTATGTGGGACTGCATGTTACCTTAAAGGCACGGCTTAGAACCTCTTCTCCTCCTTTGCTCCTCAAAAGATTTACAATCACTTGCTTACCATACTGTTCTTTTAATAGCATCATGTGTCTAGAAAAACAAATAAGAAATAGTTTAGTATGAATATATAAATACAGTTAAAAGGAGAAATACAAGTAATAGCTAAAATCTGATTAGCCAACATGGTCAATATCCCTATATTCCCTCGCACTGCTTTTTATAAATACCACCCACTGTATCCAATAAAACACTTTTAAACTATATCGCAAATCCAGCGCTCAGGTCTATAAGAAACCCAAGAACATGGTAACATTCACTCGCTGTGATGCACCCCTCCAAAGATCAGGGAATCTTGATAATACTGGAAGAAAGCAAAAAAGGGCACACTCTCCTTGTGCATTACCCTGATAAAAAAGAATTTATTGGGTAATAAGAAAAATTGAATTATGAATGAGATGAAAAGAATACTGTGAAAAATCAATAAATATTTAAATTAAAAAATAAATAAATAATTTATTGAAAATGACAAAAGTATATACTCACAAACCAAGAGTCATGTAAACAAACAAGGAACCAATGTGACAGTCCCAGCAAATGGTGGTCTTGCGACAGGGTATACTAACGCGTTTCAGGAGACAAACTCCCTTCCTCAGAGCTAAAACTAGACATGTTGTAAGCCTATATAGGGGAGCAGGATAACATGTGAGGCCAATAAGAGAGCCAGTGTAAATGAGAGCCAGTGTTATTAGTGTGAATGCATCCGTCCAGAGTGACGGCCGTTACATGGCTCGAGCTCCCGGCGTCTGTACACACGTGGAGGATGGCATTTACACTGGTTCTCATTCACTAATGTTTACCCAGCCTACTTGGCGTCACAGCAAGTCCTTCCTGTTTTTTTTCATTTCTACATATCTTTATCAACAGCACTTACAACATCATGTGTATATGTATATATATATATATATATATATATATTCCTTTTTGTTTTTTTTGTATTCTCCACTGTGTATGGCAGTCGTCATGGTGATAGATGACCAGCGCCATGGTCACATTATTCCTTCCCTCCCATTTGGTTGACCTATCAGTTGAGTGGTCACTTGGAGGGGAAGAGTCTCTTTGGTCTTTCACATGATCCGTTTAATTGGCCTCACATTTCATCCTGCTCCCCTGTATAGGCTTCCAACATGTCTAGTTGTTTTAGCTCTGAGGAAGGGAGTTCGTCTCCCGAAATGCATTAGCATACCCTGTTGCAAGACCACCATTTGCTGGGACTGTCACATTGGTTCCTTGTTTGTTTACATTACTCTCGGTTTGTGAGTATACTTCTGTCATTTTCAATAAATTCTTTTTTATCACTTTAATGCACGAGGACAGTGCGCCCTTTTTTGCTTTCTCCACTTTTAAACTATAACCCAAATTCAGATTGTAAAGTAAATTTAAAACCGGTAAGCTGCTATATATTACATTTTTGTTCCAAGGATCTTTAAGGAAAATTCTTTTCTCTTACTATACTGGAGCTGGCATGTAACTTTATCCAATATTTCATTTAGCCCATGATGTAAACATTCTTTTCTAACTAGAAAGAAATCTGTATAATTACATTTTCAGTTACTTTAACCTGACTACTTTTTGCTTCCTTTATTTCAAACATACAAATAAAGTAAATAGAACTGAATACATAAGGCAGTTAGTTACCTCCCATACTGAAGTGCCCAATCCTAGCAACTGTATTTGAAAAGAAACTGTAAAGATTTCATCAAAGGTTATATCTTTTGGGAATGCTGCCATCTCCAATGCAAGGAGATAAATAAAGCTGTAATAGCCTGCCTGCTGAACATGACCATACTATGCCTGGTTGAATAATATGCACATCTTGGCTGCCCTGGGGACTTAAAACACAATGCACCTTTGCTCTTGGCCTATTCAGAAGAATAAGAGTATAATCTCAGTATCAAAAGCGCTAGTAATATATGTACAATCGTCACACATATCAAAAATAGCTATTATGCAGCTATACTGTAAAACAATACTTAACTATAATTTCACAATAAGCTTAATATTAATGATCTCATCGCATGTTCCCAAACTTTTTTTTTTAATCATGTATATATGATAATGAGATACATACTGTAGGTGCAGCTTTGCTTATTACATATGCAGACTCTGCTTCCTACTTTGCTCTACCTCCCCTTGTGTGGCTGATATATTAATGAAATATTTGTTAAAGTGTTACTATACCCAGGACCCTGCATTCACTATATCTGGTCTCCCACAGTACACTGCTAAATACCTTTTCTCATCAGCAGTTAGAGCAGTCTTGTGACTTCTATCAGTGTTCAGCAGAGCACTGGTTAAAGCTTGTAGGATGAGTTTTATCTAGGAGGATGCAGTACCTCTAGCAGCCAGGGAGCGGTAATGATGTGCAGTAATCTCTAGCAACCAGTGAGTGGTAAGGATGTGCAGTAACCTCTAGCAACCAATGGTAAGCAGTAATGATGAGTAATAACCTCTAGCAGGAAATCAGTGAGCAGTATTAATGTGCAGTAACTTCTAGAAACCAATCAGTGATCAGTAATGATGTGCTGTAACCTCTAGCAACTAATCAGTGAGCCGTAATGTGTGCTGTAACCTCTACCAACCAGTCAGTGAGCTGTAATGATATGCTGTAACTTTGGGCAACCAATTGCAATTACTGTCTAATCTGCTAAATAAACTGATTTTGTGTCTAGCTGCCAGTTATTGTATGTCTCAGAGCAGGTGGAGAGTGAAATTGCATGGAGGGGCCCATGAAAATGTTTTGCCCAGGGTCCAATCAATATTAAGACACATCAGGGCATAAGATGGAGACACTGGAAGAAGGGGAGGATCAGAGAAGACAGGATCAAACAGCCTTTTTACACAATGCAGAGGATTAACCCCTTAGGTTACACAGTGAGTATAACAAGCATGCTTTACTGTATATACAGACTGATTTTACTGTTGTGGGTTTAGTAACACTTTAAGGCCCCATGTACACGGGACACTTTGAACGATGGAAACTGACTGCTGGAAAACTAGGTTAAAAAACCTTGGTTTAGCCACGTTTGCATAACGCGTTTATGCACGTTTATGTGCATTTGCGTTTAGAAGCGTACTTTAAAGATAAGCACAGGAGAACTTCCCAAAAGCCCAGAATGCACTGAAAAGCTGTGAAATTATTAACTATTTCAGACTGTTTGGAGAAATAAGAGAGCAGAAGCAGAGACAGCAAGTATGTGTTGAAATTAGCCATGTGTGAGTTATCAATATTAAGCCCTGTTCTTTTGTTTCCACAGGTGGGAAATGTTGCTCTAAGTGAGTCATTAAGGCCATGGCAGGGAATTTGAGGGTGAGACACTGGAAGTAAGGTCTGAATTGATGATTACAATGTGTGACAAGCAGAAATCCTGTTTTCAGTGTTTTGTCCATTGGAGTATCTTGAAAACATGCATTTTTCATGATTTTGACAGCATCGGGAAGAACTGGAAGAGTTAAAAAAAAATTCAGGCGCAAACGCTTAGAAACGCAATTTGCCGCATTTAGCCACGTTTTGCATTTGAAACGCTTATATAAAATCGACTGCTGAACAAAAGTTTTCTGCGTTAAAACCATCTGTAAACTCAAATGCTTTAAACGACTGCAAATGAAGATGTGTACATGGACACATAGGATAACATTAGGGAGAGTTCAGGGGCTGCTGAAAAACATGCTGAATGGCTCCTAAAACGTGAGTTTATCAGCTGCAGTGTTACATGAGCCCTTAGCGGTTAGTAGTAGTCATGGTAGTAGATATGCTACCCGGCCCCTAGTGGCTAACATGTACATTTAATACAAGTACAAACATATGGAAAGTCAAGCATGTACAAAGGTAAAGAGGTTGTAAATTGGAGTGAA